TGTTTATGACATTGTTATATTGGGTCGTTCTGCCATCCGCTGAATGAATCACAAGGTCGTCTTTAGGGAGTGAATGTCTTCCTTCCCAATAGCAGGATGAACAGAGAAAAGAAATGGCCAGAATTTTCACCCCATTATACTTAACAACAACAACAAAAAGTAGTTAATTAGAACTATTGGTTACTATTAGGGATCACTGCCTATAAAATGCATATACAATTGGGACATAAAAAATAGAAATAAGTAAAATTAAGTTCGTTAGAGCTATTGGTCATTATTTAATCTTATCCTCTCATTAACCCTGAATGATTATTTTTAAAATTATTTCATGTAGGCTCCACACCCAGTGTGGGGCTTGAACTCACCACCCTGATATCGAGGGTTGCTCTACTAACCGAGCCCGCCAGGCGCCCCTTAACACTTCTTTAGTAATTGCTACTTCTAATCCTGTGATTAGGGATTGAGTCTTGAACAGAATTCTTATTTCACTCTAATCTTTAAGATTAAGCTTCAGAAACACTTCTGAGAGTATTGATAGAGGTTTGATCACCGGTTGAATTTAGGGCTTTATCTGACTGTGACCATGACCATGAAGAAAGGCTCTCTCCTCCCTGTCCTGTAAAGCAATCCTCACTCAGCTCGTTTGTATCATTTATACACCGTAAGATTCGCCTGTTTGAAGTGTTGAATTCAGGGACTTCTAGTAAATCCAGAGTTGTGCAATCTGGTTTTAGAACGCGTCCTTCACTCCAAAGCGATTCCCTTGTGCAAGTTACTCCCTGTTTCCACCCCCACTGGCCCCAGGCCACCACTAATCGACGTTTTGTCCCTATGGGTTTGTCCCTTCCGGACATCTCATGTAATGAAATTAATTCAGACACTCTATGCTCTTTGTGACAGGCTTCTTTCACCCGGCATAATGTTCGGCCATGTCATGGTGTGAGTTCGTAAATACCTCATTCCTTCTGACCCCCAGGCAACAGACCACTGTACGGAGCCCCAGTTTTGTTCATCCACTCCCCAGCTGAACATCTGGATGGCTTCCACATTTTTGCTCTTAAAAGTCATGCTACTTATGAATGTTCATACACAAGTCTTTGTGGAAACGTGTTTTGACTTCTCTTGGGTAGACACCTAGGAGTAGATTTGCTGGGTTGTGCAGTAACTTCTATGTTTAACCCCTTTCTCAAAAGCCAAACTTTTCAAAGTGGCCGCACCGGTTAGCATTTCCCTAAGCATGGTGTGAGGGGGTCCTGTTCTGCTGGTTTAGCTGACTTCTCGTCAGAGGTTAGTCCCTTCCCCTGAGTCCGACACAAGCTGGTAGGCAGATCTCCCAAACGTCAGGAGTTTCCAATAAAACCCTTGTGATTCACTCCCTATTCTCCCAATCAGGTTCCGCAGACTTCTTGTTTTTGAATCTTGTTACCTGATTTCCTAAAACACAGTTGGGGGTTACTCAAGAATTTTCCTGTATTTCCTTCCTCTGTGCCACTGTCCCCTACACGCGGCACTCACATAACCTTTTGTGGAATTTGTTTTTCAAATATCTGTCGGCCCCAACCAGACAGTAAGTCTTCCAGAGGGGCGATTTTTATATCCAAAGAGACTAACACAAACCATAGCATAAAGTGGGCCTTAAAAAGTATTTCTTGGATGACTAGCTGACAAGGCGACGTATACATTTGGTTCAAATTTATACTGATTTCACTGTCAGCCTGTTTTCCTTCAAAAGGGCTGACACTTCCCTCAGGACCGATTCATTGAACACAAGACACAGAATCGTAGAGTTCGCGGAAACCTTGGGGAGAAGTCCAAATCTTTTAGTTCACCCGAAAACTCTAAGGCCCGGCGGGATGGAGTGACTCTCAGCCAAGGTGGCCGGGAGGAGCCAGCCAGGAAACCTCCCCTGCCATTGAAAGAGAGGGAGGACCAGAGCGCTGGGGAGCCCAGGGGCTGTCCCGTCAACCTCTTTCCTTAGAACAGGAACGTTTTTGAGTAGGATGTAAGATAACTCCATGGGTTTTCTAGTAGGTTAGTAATAGGGCAAAGGGGGAGGATGAGAGGTCAGAGAACATAGACTTATGTGTGAAGCAAGGAGGGAGGGCTTGGACTGGGCGGGGTGTTTGCAGAGGGAACTGGGAAGGGAGGACGGGAGTCTGCAAGCCAGGGAAATGGTGGTCTCAGTGATGGCAATAAAGCCGGGATAGAAATGCAGCTTTGATGGTTTATGTGCCCTCTGCGGCCCCGGGGCCAAGAGCCTAGTGGGTCAGAGAGCTGCCCCTGCACTCACCATTCTGTTCCAATATGGGCCCTCCCCCACACAGGCGAGTGACCTCGGACAAAGGACTCCATGACTCTGAGCCTTGGTTTTCCCATCTGTAAAATGGATGTGGTTAACAACGGCCTCCTAGGCTTGTAGGGAGGATTAACTTAGGTGATACATTTGAGGCACTTAGGCTGGAGCCTACTGTGTAGCCAGAGATCAGTTCACAGTGGCCTTGGAGCCGGCCCGTCCTGTGATTTATTTCTGTCCTCACACAAAACTTCAGTCCGGGAGTGTTTGGGGGGAAAGGAGCACTCCCTGCAGGAGCCGCTCAAAGCTGGACGCTCCATGTTTGAAGCTCCACATAAGGCGACAGATAAATTATCTTATTTTTTGGAGTCTGTGGGAGTGTTTTACACTTAACTGGAAGTTCTTGAAAGGAACTGGCATCTTTTAAAAAAATGCCACATGGGTACAATTGTCCAAGTCTTAAATCAGTCATATCTGGGAAAAAAAAAAATTGAGTTAGCTACAGTGTCTAGTATGGTTTTCAAATGTCACTCCTGGGGCCTTGTGTAATCTCAGGACTCCGGGGCTGCCCTGGGCACAAGGGCATGGAAACTCCTCTTTGACTAGAGCTGCCCCCCTTTCAACAAGCAATACAACTTCATTTGAAGAAAAGGCTTCACTTTTTGGGAAAACTCCTGTAACAGAAATTTAACAAATATGCCAGACTGATAATGACAACCAAGTGGCAAATTTTCAATGAAAATAAATTCTATATAAAACGTCCAAGTCTTTAATTGGCTAGACAAATTCATGAAACATAGCTTCTGAAGACTAAACGAAGGAAAAAACTTCACAGGGTACAAAGACTGTACCTTTGCCACAGTGGAATGGTGTCATTTTGCGTTTTTCTGATTGATACTGGTGTCCACACCAAGAGTGGGGGAAAGCAAATAAAATCTTGGGTAAGTATTTCATGCTTGTCCCTATCCGTTTAGGAAACAAAGTATTTCACAAAAGAACCACATTACATTAAAAGTATGTTTGTTCTGGCTTAAACATAATCATTTCCTCAGGAAGTCTGATTCAGATGAAGCATCTTAAGAAATTCAAATTGACTTCACTTGTAGACAACTGCATGTCACTCTCATTTCTGAATTCCATGAAATGTTTTCAAAATTAACTCTGCCATTTTAGACTATGCTTTTTTTTTTTTTTTAAGATTTATTTATTTATTTGAGAGAGAGAGGTGGGGAGAGGGCAGTGGGAGAGGGAGAAGCAGGCTCCCTGCTGAGCAGGGAGCCTGACACAGGGCTGCATCCCACAGCCCTGAGAGATCATGACCTGAGCTGAGATCTGAGATCAAGAGTCGGGGGCTTAACTAACTGAGCCACCCAGGCGCCCCTAGACTATGCTTTTAAATATCAAATATGTATTATTTCATGGCCTTCACTCCCTAGTAAATGTCAACTCCAGTTGTTTCCTCCATTTTAATGAACTCTTTTGTTTATTTACAGAAGCTTCACTTCTTAAATGTGAACTTTTGAGCATATTTCTAGATCTAAATAAACCAATAGGGAGGAGGAGAGTATAGGATTAAGAATTCAGACTCTGGGATCAGGCTACCTGAGGTCCTGCCCCAGCTCAGCCATTTATGAGCTCTGTGACTTTCCACGGGTTACTTCACCTCTCTGTGCTTCATTTTACTTATCTGCAAAGTGAGAATAATAATTGTACCTTTCGGGCACCTGGGTGGCTCAGTTGGTTAAACATCTGCCTTTGGCTCAGGTCATGATCCCAGGGTCCTGGGATTGAGTCCCGCGTCAGGCTCCCTGCTCAGTGGAGAGCCTGCTTGTGCTCTCTCTCAAATAAATAAATAAAATCTAAAAAAAAAAAAAAAAAAAAAAACTTGTACCTTTCTCAGCAGACAGTGAAGATCACAGGAGTGAACATATATATGTGAAGCCCGGGGACTAGCACCTGGCACACAGTAAGTGCTCAATAAATATTAGCCCCTGTTAGCTCTTCTTGGTTTCCTAGTGTAGGCAGGGTATGCTTTGTCTGGTTTAATTAAATATTCTAGTTGATAAAAGGTTGCTATGGAGATTATTTAATAGATTAGCACTCTTGACACAGAATATAATCAAAGATGTTCAACGTAAAGACCTGGCTGGTCCTAAGTCCACAGACGTTTGGGGCTGAAGGGACATGAGAGAACATCTTGCTCAACATCTTTATGTCATGGTTGAAGACCCCAAGGCCCAGGAGCCTGAAGCCACTTGCAGAGAGCCACCGAGCAAGGCGGAGACAGTCAGGATGTGGTTGTTTCTAATGATACTTCAGGCTCTCGGAGGGCCATAGCGAAATTTCCATTAGGGGCACCAAGTATCATTGCACCGATAAGCCTGCTCACCGGAGCATTCTGTGCTGGTCAGTCAGGACGACAAACAGAAGCATTTACCTATTGGGAACTGTCGATACACAAAGTAAATATAGGTCAGTAAGCTGGCTCTGCTTTACAACCTCATGCTCTTGTTTATGATGCTGCTAGACAATGCTAGCCGTGGGGGTCTTTCTCCATGTTTCCCTGTTAAATATCCTTCGAAAGACATTGTTTGGTTACAACCATAATAAAAAACAGCCTGAAATATTAGAAGTAGGAAGGCCTGGCCAGCACCACGCCCACACCACTGGAACAATTTATATCTCGGGAGGTGCAGACAGGACACGCTGCAGATAATCAAAGTTTTATTTAAAATTATAGAACACTCAAAAATAAACAATATCATATGCTTGGATTTTTGCTGTGACATAGAAAAAGGCTTCCAATTACACTTAAAACTCTCAAGTTTTACCCCAACAAAGTACGCTATGCAGCCAGTCAAGGTGCTCTGAGAAACACTGCTGTCTCCAGGCGGCTGGGGTAGGAGGTAGGCTGCGGACATCCCTGCAGGGAGGTGTGCTTTTCCTACTCGGATGGACGATTTTTCTTCTTGTTGTGGCTCTCAATGGCCCTTCTGAGTGCTTCATCCTGGATGAGATCAGACATTCTCACATCCGTGTGGCTACAGCCAATTTTGGGGCAACTGTCAAGGAGAAGAAAATCACTTAAGTTGGATGCCTTCGGCCTAAACTCTTCTCACATACAAGTATTTACATGAAGACGTTTTAGCCAAAAGGAGAATGTTCTAGAAATCGGGACTGATGTGCCCTGACTCATTTATTCACTGACGGCCTACCTGAGCCTGTCCCTGCCCAAGGCTGAGAGCACAGGCAGGAGTCAAACAGGGCCCACCTCGCCTTCCAGTGAGGGACAGAGATCATCACTAAGTCACCAGGGAGCATGTGCTGTGAGTTCACTCGCATTAAGTGCTCTGAAGACAAAGAAGCAGGGTCAAGGGACAGAGTGTGGGGTGAGGCTTCTCTAGCTGGAGTCAGGGCAAGCCTTACTGAGATCTTATCTAGAACAGGTGCTGCGTGTGGCCCTGGCAGAGGCAGGAGCCAAGAAGGCAGAAGCTTGGTGGCCTGGAGTAAAAGAGCAAGGTCAGTGTGGCTGAGATGCCCAGGGAGAGACGGAGGGCATTTGGAGAGGGTCAGGTGGGCTTTGGATTTTATTATTAAAAAAAATTTTTTTAAGTTTATTTATTTAAGCAGTCTCTACACCCGACACGGGGCTCGAACTCACGACCCTGAGACCAGGAGTTACACACTCCTCCAATGGAACCAGCCAGGCGCCTCTGGATTATCTTTTAAATATGAAGAGAACACCCTGGAGGGTTTGAGATAGGGGAGGGACGCGATTTGGTTTATGTTTAGGAACCCCGGCTCTGGCTGATGAATGCAGAAGAGTAGGAGAGCCCCGCCACAGTGCGGGGCAGGGGGCTGCAAGGCCAGGGCTGCAGGTGGTGGTCGGCTTCAGGGCGGAAACAGAACCTCTAGGACTTGCTGTGGGGTCAGAGGCACAGTGTAAGGGAAGAGAAGGGCTGAGCTTCATCAGAGTTGGCCCCCAGCCAACGGGCTCATTGGGGGTACCCTTTATCTCTACGGGGAGCAAGGGGGATGGAGTCAGGAGTCCCAGGTGGTCTCTGTTCCCTCCGAAATGCCCACCCGTCCTCCCGGTGGAGAGACTGTGTGGGCTGGCAGAGACTCGGGAAAATTGTGGCTGAAGAAATCAGTGTGTGTGAGTCACCCATGGAAGTGGGGGAGGTACTTAAAGCCGCGGCTCTGTTTAGATGTGGTCCCCTCTGAAGGCAGCGGGCCGGAGGAAGTCACCTGATTTCCTCTCAGCATGAAGCAGACTTGGGTAGGGTAGAGTGCCCAGGGTCTGGAGTTAAGGTGACCTGGTTCTGAATATGGCCAACACCTACTTGCTCCTTATGAGACCACAGGCAACAAATGTTCCCTTCCTGAGCCTCTATGCCTTCAGATTTGAAGTGGCGGCAGAATTCCTATTTCCCAGGGCTACAGGCAACACGGTGCTCAGTATTACCCCGTGTCCCCTTCACTATCTCCTAAGACTAGCATCCCTGACCATCATTCTTCTGATACATTTTCGAGCGGCTGATCTGTCTGTATCGTGCACATACCCAATGCATACATGCACGCATTTGTGCAAGCACTTGACCAGCCCTGTGCTGGGTTCTGAGCACCCGACTGTGCAATACAAATTTAGACTCCTGCCCACACAGAGCTCCGGCCCAGTGATCTGAGACAACTCTCCGAAAAGCACAGGTATATTAAGACAAAAAATAACAGCTATAAGACAAGATCAAAAGTAATAAATACAAGACAAAAGACAGAAACCAGAAGGGGAAGAAAGCTGATCATGGGAACTCTGATTTGTCCAGCGGTGGGAAGCCCGGCTGTTCAACATGGAGAACAGTCTTCTTGGCTGCTCTTTCTGGACCAAGGCATCTTTATATAAGAAAGGCATTAATCAATGTAATAGATAATATGCGTGCTAACAATATTTATTTTTAAAATCATGAAATGTGCCCACTGTGGGCAGGGATGTGTATTAAAACGTGATTGTAAAAAGGCCCGCATGGGAAAGAGGATCAGGCGGTCTGCCCAGCTATGCGTCCTTCTACCTGTCGGGCTCTGTGTTGGGGTAAGGCCTGGAGGCGCTTGAGACATGTCCTACACTGGTTTCTCAAAGTGAATCGTTTCTTTAACTGTGAAAGTAAATAGCTGTGATTATGAGAGGGATATGGACACTTTCACGACTTTAGAAAGGGCACTTTTTTCATTACTTCAACGTCTGTGATGCGGAAATGCACCTCAAAGTGGGCCCCGGGATGACATGCGCTGGGGGTCACCCTCACTTCATACTTGTCACTTGGTGAACATGCACTGCGATGGCCGGCCTGGAGTCCTCCCCACTCCCGAGTACCAAGTCTTTAGCCCCGATGGCCAGATGGTGAATAAGCGTAGAGGGGGAAGTGGAGACTGAGGTGGGGAGGACTTCCTGGTGACATCAGTCGCCCCGTCGGTACGTGAGAGGACTCTGAACATGTCTGATGGGATCAACCACACACTGCAGGCTCATTCCTCACAATGGGACAATGGGATGGAGCCGAGGGTGACCTGTGTCTCGAACAAAGAAGTCTGACCTCACCTAAGGGATCAACTCTGGGAGACAGAGGCATTCACCCAAAAGCCCTCCCAGGGGGAGCTGATGGCCTCTTGACACAAACACAGGCTCAAGAGTGAGCGAGACGTGGGCTCAAGCCTCTTGGCTGTGACCCTCTGGGCAAGTGGCTTTAATTCTCGTGCCCCAGTTTCTTCTGCCATGAAGATGACATAGAACGGGGTCGCCAGGAGAAATAAGGAGGGCGATGTGCAACAAGGGTTGAGGACTTGACTCTAGTCCACAGCTTCTGCTCCCAAGAAGCCCGTGGAGAGGAGGCAGCCCCACTGAGGGGTGCTGGTGGGACATGGGCGAGGTACGATGCAAGGCTGCGATGGCAGCCTGATGAGGCGCGCTCTGCCCAGCCTGAGTGACGGGTCAGGGAAGACTTCCTGGAGAAGAGGTCGATTCGGGAGCGGAGGGAGAACCTTGTTTCTCACCCTATCTAATAAACAAACACAAGTTTTTCAGCTACAAAGGATAAGACAAGCCCGTAATGACATGATACTGAATCAGGGCACTCCTCCTCCGGAGAAATAACACTCTATATAAGCATTTGTGCATTAATCCCCAGGACGTCCTGGTGAGCAAGTTAGGTGTGGCAATACCCAATCCTAAGCTCTCGCATCATCACTGTGCAGCAGTCAGACCTACAGGCCTCGAAGGAGAGGCTGGGTCTTCAAGTCGGGTCACTGACAGGGCAGAACATTCCATCAGAGCATCGAGCAAGCATGAAAGTGTCTACTGAACAAAGAGAGCCCGGGTCTCAGGGGTCCCAGAAGGCTGCGGGGAACCTTGGCCTCAGCCTCAGCTCTAAAGTACAAGATTTGGAGTCCTGTGAGCTCCTGGATCTGGGTCCCAAGAATTCCAAGGTCCAATCCAGCTCTGGGAGGAGGTCTACGGATACCTCTGGAAGTCTGAGTGGGACGGGTTCCGGTCATACCTAAATACACCGAGTAACTCTGTCCTCCCTCCTCTGAGTCTAAAATAACGTGTCACTAAGCGGTGAGGTAAATAATAACAACACTGACAGTCTCGACCTTTCTAACCGTACTGCCGATTTGTTTAGCGTTCTGCAGTTCCAAAGGAGCTTTCGCTTAAGTGGTTTGCTTCTCCACTGCCAAGAAATGTGCTGGTCCAGGCCTAGACTGGAATTTCCCCACCGTTTCTGTAATCCTAAGATCCCGGGAGATGCTGTTATTCTTTCTGCTCTGCCAAGAAGACATGGGGGCTCTGAGAGGCGAAATGGCCCCTTGGCCAAGAGTGAACTAGGGACGGTGAGCACAACGCCAGCGCTCCGCTCTTCAACGACACCTCCCTCCTCAACTTCATTGTACTCCACATGCTGTTCAATGGGACTGTTGGTAAAACACAGTTCTTGTTCCTCAGCAAAAAAGGAACGACATGACTGTGGAACACTGGAAGTATCTTATTACTGGGGCAATCATCAGGCAGCTCTGTTAGGGAGATAACGCACGGCCCAGTTATTCAGGAAATTGTTTTAACTACCGTATTTAGTGAGGGCCAAAGTCTCCACAGTTCTATCCTGACTCAAGCCAGGGGAGAGAGATCTTCGCAGACACCAAAGCATGGCCAGGACGATTCCAGTCAGCGCCCAGTCATACAATGTACCTGGATCTCCAGTCTGACAAAACGTAACGTTAGAGCCATCTAGGAGGAAGGACCTCGATTTCTCAAACTGGATGTGTCACAGACATTTTTAAACAAAGGGGACCCAGAACTGCTCCTCGGGCTCACATGCATCATGGGAAATGACACTGCTTCATGCTCAGTCAGGAAGCTCTGGAGTAGCTGATGAAGAGGCCCTGAGGTGTAATCCGCTGCCAAGTGCAGCCTGTCTCCAGGACTCTGCCCACAGCCCCGCTGCTCCTGGGACACGCGCCTCCCCTCCTTCTTCCTGTCTCGTCGGGCTACGCCTCAGACGGCTTCCCTGGGGTCTTCTTCCACCGACTGCCTTCTCTTTAATGCGTGCAATGCCTTTCTGAGGGTCCACAGGCGCTGAGGGCGAGGCGGTGAGCAGAGCGGGGCTGGCCGCGGGCCCCGTGCTGCCCGGAGCCAGGCCACGGTCCTGTCCTTGGTGGTTCTCGGCCGGCTTTCACCTGCCGCCCAGAGCTGCCCCTGGGCGGCAGGTGAGTGGGTTTGCCTCCTCTAGCCATTACCTCTCAATGACGTCTTGAGCTCAGAGCTCTCTCCCGGGTTCAACACCTCACATTTTCTGGGCTTCAGGGGCACTTCCAAATGGCTGTGTCGCTAGGACCCCAAGCTTCCCAGGACCCCAGCTGCGCCTCTCATAATCCTTCCTAAATGTGTTTGTCACTCCTGCCCTCTCTGTTGGCTAATGAGCCCGCTACCCTTCTGGAAATATCCTCCATCCCTTCCTCCTCCCTTCAACTCCCAGTTGCCAAATCCTGCTAGCTGTGCCCCCAGTATGGGCCCCATTCTCATTCCCTTCTGCCTCAGTCAGGCCCCCATCATCGGTAACTTAATCCCCTGCAAACACATTCTCACTGATGCTGTCACCTCATGCCTTTTTTATCCATCTCTTGAATTGTCTTGGAGTAACTTCCTAACCTCCAACTTGACTCACCTGACTCCCTCAAAACCCTGCAGTTTTGTCTCATGCCTACGGAATTATGGCGGCAAGAATTAGGGTGGCGGTGGGGGGGGGTAAGGGTACCGTTTACCGAGTCTTACCATGGGCCAGGGACTTGAAAGTACTTCACATAGATCATATTCAAATTTCAAACATACCAGGGGGCAATTACAATCATTACCATCAATTTATAGATGAGGAAACCAAAGAAATCATGACATTTAACATCTCTATAATGAATCTTGACACCACTCTCCTTACTGTTCTACTGTTCTTGTCCAGAGCATCCTTCCATTCTCCCGCTCACAAAGAGTAACCATGACTGTACCTTCTGACCACCAAGTAGAACAGGCTCTGAGTGGGGCGAGCCTGTTGGCCAGAAGGACTCTTCTTCATCATTCTCTGAAATCCTTCTCATTTTTTTCAAGGCCCAGTAAAAATACTACCTTCTCTCTGAATCTCCCACACTTCTTCCACTTGGACTTAATTGTTATTATCAAGCTATGAGAACCTGCGGTTTGCAGAATCTGCGCTCATGTTATAGAAGCATGACAGGAAAAAGACACTTTTCTAACTGACAAATGTTACTCGCGTGCTTCCAACTAGCGTGTACAATTCAAAAAAGCCAAAGGACATTAGAAAGTCGAACGTGTAATTAGGAAGATCCATTTACACGTGAGACTGTTCTTGAAGTCACCATCCCCATCCTGGGACTTGTGAGAAATGTACTTTGTTATCAGTGCCTGCTCTTTCCGAATCTGACTCTGGGAGAATATCATAAACTTTAAGAAAGTAAGAGTTGTGAAAAAGAACTATCTGGGCGCCTGGGTGGCTCAGTCGTTGGGCGTCTGCCTTCGGCTCAGGTCATGATCCCAGGGTCCTGGGATCGAGCCCCGCATCGGGTTCCCTGCTCCGTGGAAAGCCTGCTTCTCCCTCTCCCACTTCCCCTGCTTGTGTTCCTTCTCTCGCTGTGTCTCTCTGTCAAATAAATAAATAAAATCTTAAAAAAAAAAAAAAGGAAAAGAACTATCTGGGAATATCTATTCTCAGCAATTACCATTTCCGCCAATTAAAAGGTTGTTTTTCAGAGAATGAACACAGAAAAAAGTCAGTAGAAAGGGAAGGCTCAGAAGTCCAGAAACAAAGGAAATTATATTCACAGGGAAAATGGAAGGTTCACTAGGGAAATACAACATCTCAACTCTAAGCTGGGACTCAAAATGGATACAAATGTACTCAACACTCTTAATTTTGCAGTCATGAGGGCATTCTTCGGGGACAAAGAGGGTAAATGACTTGACTGAATGACCATCAAGATATCTAGAGTCTCAAATACCCTATCTCTAAGTCCACGCCCACAGGAGGAATGCTGGGGAATTCCAATTCTGGGTCTGGACCAGCAAATTTCTGGGTGATGGAGAAGCGAGCCACATATCAAAGTGACTGTTATCAGAAGTCCATTGAGAACTGGTCACACCTGCAATTCCATTCCTACAACAAATTTGTGATAAGAGCACGAGAAATGCCAAACTGAATTATAGTGAGTCTAGCCAACCCAGGATTCCATGTTATCACAGGAATGGAGCCACGGTCCTCCAAGGTTGTGCACCAGGGGGGTAGGAATGCACAGGTGGGGGGGTGGGCAGGGGGTGGAAATACATATAACATACAGGTAAAAGGAAGATTCTCCAAACATTCCAATTAAAAAATTTTTTTTTCTCACTCAAGTGATTCATAAATTTACTTGAACCTTTCAGAAAGTTATTTAAATAATTAAAGATATGAAAGGTTTTCCCTGACAATTCAATCTCGATCAAGACCTCTGGATATAAATCTCATCTCGGAACGTTTTAACCAAGTTAACCTGTATCGCAGGATGCAAAAAAATTTGCCATTTCTTCTTGTGTAAGTTCATACAGAAGGGGAAAAAGAAATCTCTTAGTATCACAGTTCCCCTTAATCTTTTCTCAGGCTATAGCACAATTTCATGAACATTCCTATTAATTAATGATGAAACTTGCACCCAATTCCTTTTTCTCCTGTTTCGAAGGTGTGGCTGAAGTTGCTTCAGCTTCTTCCTGAGCAGACTACTCATTTTTCCGTCGTGTATTGTTTTTCCAGAAAGCCGGCTTCCGTGCTTACACCATGAGGGAGGTGGGTGGGCTTTATGGGGGACATGGAAGTGTCTTTTCCTCTAGCGCGAGCACACCACCTCTGACTGACCACCACTGGGAAGGCTCACTTCCCTTCCGGCGCCGACTCACCAGGCCTTTTTCTTCCGCCTGTGCTTGGACTCAATCATGCGCACAATGGCTTCCTCCTCATAGGTGTGGCCACACACTTTATTTTTCACCGGCCTCTTCATTTCCACCTGCAATCAAGGAGACATTCAGCTTTCAGGAATGATAATGATCCACTTCCAGAAACTTCTCCAAGTCACCAATTACTTAGAACTGTTTTTTCCTCATCTGGGGGCTTCCCGTGCTCAACCTCGCAGTGTCGTGGCTCTAGATCATTGCTGGGGCAGATGGCCACAGAGGAAAAGGCAGGGAGACCGTGGCACCAATGTCAGCTGGCTCGTGGGCCAAGAATTTCCTCCTCGATCCCTCAGGGCACGGTTGACTGAAAAGTCTTGCCAGCCCGGGGAACCTCCCCCATAGCCTCCTGGGCTTCATCCCTTTCCTTTCCTCTCTCCTTACCCGAGAAGTGAAATCAAGTTAGAAAGCAAACAGGAGTCTTCTGCCTTTATGAAGTGAATTGCTTTGTCTTTCTGGGAAGGAGGAAGGAGACAATACCTGTGTAATGGGGCAGATGAAGTTGGTCTGACTTTGGGTTACAATCATATCTTCATCAACTCCTTCTGTTCCATCAGCCTCTCTGTCGGCTTGAAGACCATCTAGAGGGGAAAAGGGAAGTCGCTGAGCCACGTTGGTCTAACGTTGTGCTAAGGACAGGAGGGAGTGGAAGGAAGGAATGGAAGGAAGGAAGGAGGTTAATGGTTTCTCAGGGTCTGTTGGGTGGTAGGCAACCTTGCTAGGCACTTGGATGCACGTTAACTCTTCTGCTCTTAAGAGAATCCTGCAGGGTAGGTAGGATTCTGCCCATTTTTGATAAGGAAACAGACTCAGAGCAGTGAGATACCTTTTTCAAAGAATTAATTTGGGAGGGAGTACTGTCCAGTAATCCAGAGTGTGGCTCTGGAGTCAGAAGGGCCTGGTTATCTCTTTCACTTCCAGCTGGGAGACCTTAGGCTAGTAAGATCTTTTTCGTAAAGCCTCTACTTTACAGCTTTGTTGCAAAGATGAAAAGAGATGACAAATATAGCATGCTTTGCAAAGCCCCTGGCACAAGGAAACATTCAATAAAGGGTAACTACTATTAGCTAGCTCAGGGATTCTCAAACTTTTTGGTCTTAGAATACTTTTATACTTTTTGATATTATTGAGGACCCCAAAAAACTTATTTGGGGTTATAGTTACCAATATTTGCCATAGCAGACATTAAGACTAGGGATTTTAAAAATATGCATTTATCAATTCATTTAAAAAAACCACAACTCCTGGGGCATCTGGCTGGCTCAGTCGGTAGAGTATGTGACCCTTGATCTCAGGGTTGTGAGTTCAAGCCCCACGTTGGGTGTAGAGATTACTTAAATTAATAAAACTTAAAAAAACCCAACAACTCCACTGCATGTTAACATAAATGTTATTTTCAAAACTAAAAGTAATTATATTTTCCAGAACAACAACAAAAGAGTTTGAGATAAGAGTGGCATTGTTTTTACATTTTTGAAAATATCTTTACTGTTTGGCTTAATAGAAGATAGTTGGGTTTTGAGGGGCACCTGGGTGGCTCAGTGGGTTGAGCGTCTGACTCTTGATTTCGGCTCGGGTCATGATCTCAGGGTTGTGAGATGGAGCCCTGCATTGGGCTCTGCACTCAGCAGGGAGTCTGCTTGAGATTCTCTCTCTCCCTCTGCCCCTCCCCCCCACTCTCTCTCTAAATACATAAATAAATAAAATCTTTAAATAAATAAGAAGACAGTGGGATTCTGATATCTGTCTATGCATTCAGTCTGTTGTGACGTCATGTCATGTAGCCTCTGGAAAAATACACTTATGGAAAGAGAGAGAGTGAAAAAGACAAGTGACATCTTAGTATTATTATGAAGGTAGTTTGGACCTTGTGGGTACCTGCAAAGGGCCCTGGGAGAACCCTAGGGGTCCCTGGACCACATTTTGAGAACTGCTGAGCACACTCATGGTAAGGCTGCCTTTGGAGAGCCTATGTGATTCTGAAATTTATGTTCTTTTCATTTCATCGCACTTGCTCCTTACTGAGAGCAAACAGATGATGGATGGCTTCTGAATGGGATAATGAGAATGAGTATCTCATGTGAAAGCCTTTCTTTCTGGAGCAGGGAGACATCACTTTGCACAGACATCAAAGATCAATAGCTTTTTAAATGTAAGTGTTGACAGTGTCTTCCTTCCTCTTTCTCCCCCGCGCGCACCGCCCCCCCCCAGCCTTTCCTGTCCTTACTGCTTTTTCTTTCCCCTTCCTTCTTTCATTCTGGCAAAATAACATCAATGTTAACAATTGCTTTGTTTTTAATGTGGGAGGGAGACCCTTGTCTCAGGTTCAGATGGTCCTGCACACCGTTCTGTTCCTAAAACTGACGGCCCGGGCCTCCCACCTTGGCCAGATGGAACGCCTGTCCAGAAAAGGACCACTGGGGGCAGGAAAAGGGCCACAGAGCACTCGTTCAAGGTCACCCAGTGAACTAATGGCTGGCACCAGGGATTCTGCCCCTAGCTACTCTGTTTTTGTAGGGGTTTCACCTTGTTTTATAGACTACTGCTACTTGTATGTCAGCTTCTTGTGTTTTCCTAGAGAAATGTCCCTCAAAGCAGCTCTCATTCCTTGAAGAAGGCAGGAGTGGAGACCTCAGAGCATAGGACTTCCCAGGCAGGGCATTTTAACCATTGGCCACTCGGGTACTGTGCCTTCTAGCTTTTCAAGGACCTGTAAAAATGTCTGAGCCCTTGAAAATCATTTGTTGGCTTCAGAGCAGGAGAACCACAAAACTGGATTAGTAAGTGAAAAAGGTTGACAAAATGTAATGTTAGATTAACTTCATTAATTGCTGACTTGGGGGGCACCTGGGTGGCTCAGTTGGTTAAGGGTCTGCCTTCAGCTCGGGTCATGATCCCGGGCTCTCCGCTCAGCGGGGAGTCTGCTTCTCCCTCTCCCTCCGCCCCCCCACCCCCACACCAGCCAACTTGTGCTCTCTCTCTCAAATAAATAAAATAAAATCTTTAAAAAAATTGCTGACTTGGTAATCAAAAATATTTCAATTTGGAAGCAATATGTAGGCTGGATTTAGGTTTGAGCTTAATAATTCCCAGGTATGCTAAGATAATTGCTGATAAATAAATAGCCAATTATAAGGTACTTGTAACCAACCTATTTCCAAAGCAAAACTATAAAGATATTTTCAAAAAATTCTGTCAGCAATAAAAGTATATTTAATGTGGAGGTATGTTTGCTGTGATGTGGGATGGGACCTACGAAGGGTTTTTATGTGTCCCAGGACCCGTCTTTGGCATTCACAGAGCAAAGAATTAGACTCCTAGAGGAGTCCTTCCTCAACCCAGTGGTTGCTCACAAGGGCTCAGGAAAGGTGGACAAGGAGCAAAGTCAAGGAGCAGAGCTAAGAGCATTCTGTCTCTTTAATTCACTTTCCAAAGCCTCCGCCTGTGGGCGGCTACTGCCCACTTCTGATTGTGTGTTTGATAGTCAAAATTCAGGTCCCTCTTTGTCCATTTCTTACAGAGCTTCTTCTGAGCTGATGGCAGATTATTTTTTTCCCTAATGGCATTTTTCTGACTGTAGATGTGATACTGTGGAAGTCACCAGAAACTCTGTTAGATGAATAACAGAGTTCTGCCAATGGGAAAAGCTGTGGGTTTGTTTTTTATTTTCTATTTTTAAAGTAAAAGGTAGAGGAAGAAGCAAAGCACAACTCGAATGCAGTGGCAATCACTAAGGAAGGCTGAGTGGAGAACTCAGAAACTGTAGGCGGCTATCAACATCCGTGATCATGAAAGAAGGTAACAAAAGTAAGCTGGAGGAAGAACGCCGACAGTGAGTAATAGTTCACGGACTGGGAGTCTAAAAAGGGAAAGAGCCTCAATAGCTAAACCTCTCTTGAGATAGAACATTTCCTCACCCGAAATCGATATTTATAGAAAGTGATATTAATGTTGGGATCTCTGATGTGCTAATGGAAGGTCACATCTGGCAGTAAATATCAGTCACACTCATTTAGTTGATCCAAAGATAAGACTTTTTGATAAGCTTGGTAAAGGAAGACTGGAGAGAAAAATATAGATCATCTACTAGACCCACATAAGTTTTATTTATTTTTTTAAGATTTTATTTATTTATTTAACAGAGAGAGACACAGTGAGAGAGGGAACACAAGCAGGGGGAGCGGGAGAGGGAGAAGCAGGCTTCCCGCGGAGCAGGGAGCCCGATGCGGGGCTCGATCCCAGGATCCCAGGAACATGACCTGAGCCGAAGGCAGACGCTTAATGACTGAGCCACCCAGATGCACCACATAAGTTTTAAAGCTGAAGTTATCTATCCTAATTCTCTCAAACACCTGAGAAATCCGAAATCTAAAGACATTATAGATTTTGTTCAAAGGTAGGCAGGGATTTAGTAAATCAGCGCATGGCTCTGTTTTCTTGGCCTGCTTAATTTGAAGACTAAAACCAGTGTGTAGGTTCTGGGAGCCACCCTTTCCTCCCCCAGATTATTATTTTATTAATAACAGCACCTCAAGTTTACCGCCTTCTACACTGCAGCCACTGTACTGAGCACTTTAAATATATTATCACATTTAATCCTCACAAAATACCCTCTGGTATAGGCCAGAAAACTTAAGCCTCACAATATTTTTAAGGCAAAAGTAGGAAATAGTGATATTATAATAAATAAGTGGATTAAATCAATTCAATCATTATTAAAGAGGTCACAAAAAGTTTTCCTTATTATAAAGTGAAAAGCAAGAAAATTAGTCATACTGCGTTCCACGTACACACACAGGGTATGTTGTTAGAAGTACGTGTCGGCTGTCAACTTGTGATCTGGTGGGCAAATCTCAAATCCCCCCCTTCCGCCCCTGCCTGGGAGGGAGGGTACCCAAGCCACATGCGGACGGTGGAAGTGCAGACAGGAGTTAATGTTAGAGAGGTGCCCATAAGGGGAACCTTGATGTGTCAGGGTGTGAGTTAGTAACTTGGACGTGATTGCTTCGGATGTCATAAAATGAACGTGAAGCGGAAAGAGAAACCACGGAAATGCCTGAAGTAGTAACCAAGTGCACAAAGAATTCCAGAAGTCTATGAATATTCCCCTGGGATGTAAGTTAGGGGGTAGTGAGGACATCTGTTGAACCCCAAGATGTGGGTTCATCATCAGTCAGTTATGACGGGGAATGAGCTAAACAGCTCTGCCTTCAGTCGTCCCCAGTCAGCCATCATCCTTCTAGCTGCTCAAGCCAAGACTTTTGGAATTATTCTTAATTACTCGTTTTCCTTTGTTCGTCACATGGAGCCTTATTGGCAAGTTCTGTTGACTGGTTCTAAACTATATTCCCTAAGTCTAAATCGAGTAAATCTAGCCCTTTCTCTCGATTTCTACTATATCCCAGTCCAAACAATGGCCTCCTGCCCAGACCGCTGCAGTAGCCTCCTACCTAGAATCTCTGCTTTGAAAAGGGTCGTAACGCTCCCACACTGCTTCCTGCAGCGGCGCTCACAGCCGACCCCCCCGACCGGTCTCCCTCTCACCCACCGTGCTGGACTTAAAGTGGTCTTTTCTCTGTTT